AGGATAGCATTGAATCTGTAAATTACTTTGGGCAGTATGGCCATTTTCACGATATTGATTCTTCCTAACCATGAACATGGAATGTTTCTCCATCTGTTTGTGTCCTCTCTTATTTTGTTGAGCAGTGGTTTGTATGTAGTTCTCCTTGAAGAAGTCCTTTACATTCCTTGTTAGTTGTATTCCTAGGTATTTTATTCTCTTTGTAGCACTTGTGAATGGCAGTTCTTTCTTGATTTGGCTCTCTTTAAGTTTGTTATTGGTGTGCATTTTAGGTTTTTACAGAGATCTTTATCATTCAATCTTGTTTAACCCCATGCAGGAGCTCACTAAGGTACTTGCAGAAGTGCATGGCTGATTTTGACACCAGAGGACTTGGGTGGTCAACATAAGCTCTCTGGGGCCTGCCATGCCATCACGTTGGCATGGCATTGTACACAAGAGTTAAGGGTTGGACTGCTTGTGTTCACATCCTGGCTCTGAATCTTACTAGTTCTGTGGTTGTCGACGAGTCACTTAACCTCTCTGAGTCTTGGCTTTCTCATCTGCTAAAGGGGAATAATGAGAATACACTTTTCTCATGATGCAGGTGTGAAGATTAGGTGAATTATTATTATTATTATTATTATTATTATTTGAGATGGAGTCTCGATTTGTCACCAGGCACCAGGCTGGAGTGCAGTCGCGTGATTTTGGCTCACTGCAACCTCTGCCTCCTGGGTTCAAGCAATTCTCCTGCCTCGGCCTCCCAAGATGCTGGGACTACTGGCACAAGCCACCACTCCCACCTAATTTTTGTATTTGTAGTAGAGACGTGGTTTCACCGTGTTGGCCAGGATGGTCTCAATCTTTTGACCTCGTGATCCGCCTGACTCAGCCTCCCAAAGTGTTGGGATTACAGGCGTGAGCCACTGCACCTGGCAGGTGAATTAATTTATATATAGTCCTTAGCACAGCACCTGGCACATACTGCTGGTTTATGATTATTAATGTTTTTTTATTGTAGTGACTCTAATAGGCTCACAATTCTTTGTAAAGGTGAAAAGAGCTCTGATCATATACTCCATTTCTCTTTCATTGTTTCATATGTTCCCTTCCTCATTCCATATCATCCTCCTACTTTTTTTTTTCTTTTTTTTGGGGATGGAGTCTTGCTCTCTTGTCAGGCTGGAGTACAGCAGCTTGCTCTCTGCTCACTGCAACCTCTACCTTCCAAGTTCAAGCAATTCTCCTGCCTCAGCCTCCCGAGTAGTTGGGATTACAGGAGCTCATCACCACACCCAGCTAATTTTTGTATTTTTTGGTAGAGACGGGGTTTTACCATGTTGGCCAGGTATCCTTCTCTTGACTTTGTGATCCACCTGTCTCGGCCTCCCAAATCACCGCGCCTGGCCTATCCTCCTACTTTTAATCTCTTTCTTCTCTGTCTCCCTGCCCTGCCCATTTTTGCTATGAAGAACCACATGTATTTCAAACATGAACTAAATTGACATCCTGTTAGAGAAGGTCTCAATCTATGCTATTTTATAGGGACTGACCTGGAAAGTGGAAGGTCGTTGAAGGTTTTGTTTCTTTTATTTTGTTTTGAGGGATAGTTGTTAGTAGGGACATGGGGAAGGAAAATATGGTGAGAAAGTTATTGTTTTACCCCAGAATAAAGAAAGTTCACCCTTTCTACCTTGGTTCTTGGAAATCCAAATGCAAGACATTTGTATAACAGTGGTTCTAACTGTAATGAAGGAAAAGAAACTTGGAACCAAATGAGTGTTTTCTAGATGTCTACAAAGGATAGTACTATGATCCAGAGGTACATACATCAGGCTGAGAGAAAATTATCTAAACTTAGGGTCATGGGATTAGAACTGAGTATGTTAAATCAGCTTTATTCATCACCTACTATTCACCCCCTACCCTACTCCACCCCGCAAAAGGGAACAACACTACATGTGGAAAATAACTTGTATTTTGATATTTCTTCTTGAAATGAAAACAAATCCTGTTGACTTTCCTGGTTACCAAGGCCAAGTGGCCCACCCTTCATAGCCTCTGAGTTTGTCAAGCTTCCTCTTTGTGGCTCGGGGTGGAAATCTCATACTGTGTGCCATGAAGTTGATGTAATACCTGTGAGCCCCTGAGACCTTGATACGTAGGCAGCTCTTGTGATCTCACTGTTTGCTGGTGAGCCACTAGCAGGAAACAAACTAGAGACATGTTGGCTCCTTGACCTCCCTGTAGAGAGGAGGGTGACTTTGCTTTCTAGGGCAAGGGGAACAGGAAGGAAAAATGTGGGGATGGAGTGGACAGCCCAGGGCGTGGGCCTCAAACTTAACTCTGAATCAAGATCACCTGGGGAGTTGGTTAAAATCCAAGTTCCCAGGGTCAGCCCAGTTCAGATTCAGTAGAGTGGGATTGGGCTGGAATCTCCATGTAAAAGGAATGCCCAATTCTGAAGCAGGTGGTACAGGAGCAGCACCTATAGCAACACTCAGAGACCCAGAACCAGGGTCTTGAGAGTTCTGCAATAGGCAGTAGCTGCAGAGGCTTTTCGTTCTGCTATAGACAGTAGCTTCAAAGCTATTAAAATGTTGTGGTTAGTGTTTACAAAGGTGGATGGGTGGAATCAATCCATTGTGCCCTCAAGCCACAGGGTCAGTTCTGTGGAGCCACCACTGTCAGCTCTCTGCAGCCACCCACTGAGCACACTGAATGGGCTGATGGTGGGAAGTGGGCACTTGGCTGGGTCTGAGAATGAGAATTTCTGACAAGACAAGGGAGAATCCTGGAAGGTACTCATGGAGAGAGCAGTTATTTCAACTTTTGAGTTACCTTTGTATGATGGTGCCAGTCCCAGTGTGATCTTCATGGGAATGACTGCCCTCTTGGGATCAGTGTCCTATCGTCATCAACACGCCCACCATGTACCTGCCCACCCCTCCTCCCACCCACATACACCCACACTCATCTTTCTGTCTCTTGCTCCTTTTCTCACTCCCTTCTCTTGCTCGTTTGCATGCTTTCCACCTCTCTCTCTCCCACACAAACACGTTCACACCCTCACACATTCACACTCCCATCCCGATGCCCTTTGTAACCTCAACCCATCTGTATTTACATGCCCAGAGCTCTATTTTTTTTTTTTTTTTTTTTTGAGATGGAGTCTCATTCTGACACCAGGCTGGAGTGCAGTGGCATGGTTTTAGCTCATTGCAACCTCCACCTGTGGGTTCAAGCGATTCTCCTGCCTCAACCTCCCGAGTAGCTGGGACTACAGGCATGGGCCACCATGCCTAGCTATTTTTTGTGGTTTTACTAGAGACCAGGTTTCACCATATTGGCTGGCATGGTCTCCATCTCTTGACCTTGTGATCTACCCACCTCAGCCTCCCAAAGTGCTGGGATTACAGGTGTGAGCCACCGTGCTCAGCTAAAAAATTTTTAAGGGAATGTTGAGGGGTGATTAATGAAAAGAATCAAATGTGATTTTTAAATTGTGTTAAACACAAATAGGTTTAACATATTTGTTGGAACTATAGATAGAAGCCAGAAGCGCAGATGATGGGCGGGTGAGAATTAACAGGCTTGGGTGTTTATGGGGCCCAGGCTTATGCTGCTCAGGGTGTTGCTCAGCCTGTGTGGTTTTCATACCTATTGTTGTATGAGCATTAGCAGCGTTTGTGCACTCAGACAGGAATAGGACTTTAGTTGTTGCTCAGTGGACCTCTTCCTCCTTTTTAGACTGTCTCAAATTTTAAGGAGGATGGTTTTAACTAGCAATTCTTAACTTTTTTTTTTTTTTTTTTTTTTTGAGACGGAGTGTCGCTTTGTTACCCAGGCTGGAGTGCAATGGCACGATCTCGGCTCACCGCAACCTCCACCTCCTGGGTTCAGGCAATTCTCCTGCCTCAGCCTCCTGAATAGCTGGGATTACAGGCATGCGCCAACATGCCCAGCTAATTTTTTGTATTTTTAGTAGAGACGGGGTTTCACCATGTTGACCGGGATGGTCTCGATCTCTTGACCTTGTGATCCACCCGCCTCGGCCTCCCAAAGTGCTGGGATTACAGGCTTGAGCCACCACGCCCGGCCAATTCTTAACTTTTTGAGGACTGCAGTTCTTTTTGAGAATCTGATAGACAATTTGAATTGTCTCTACAGAAAAATACGCATACATTTGAGGGAGAGGAGGAGGTGGTTTAGAGACACTGTAGGATCCATCCTCACCTTAAATGAAGAACGCCTGCTTTAATGGGCACTGAAGGCTTTTAGCCACTTCTCCCATGGTCACTTTTATGGCGCAGTCTCTTTTCTTGTGGAGTGCCATTTGTAACGGGAACTGAACAAAAACCATTTGACATTGTGTGCATGTCTTCTGGAGGGTTTGTGCTCAGTTTTAGAGAGCAAGCAGATTTCAGTGAGTGAAATCATCTAATGCATATAAAGCACTTAGCACCTGACATGATTAAGTACTCATTAAAAAAAATACTGTGCACATTTAATCATAACTACCAAGATGATGACCACCATAAAACTTCACCATGTCTGAAGCAGTTTAGAAGCGTTGGACTAGATATTGGGAGTCAAGGATGCCTCCAGCTTGGATATTTTCCCCTCTTTTTTGAGTCCAGTAATTCCATTCACTTCCACAAATATTTATTGCATTTCTACTGCAAGTAAAATATTCTGTTAAGCATTTTGAGGACTAGAAATGAATAAAATTTCAAGGAACAGTATCTAAAGGAATCACTTCTATATGTCTCTTACCTGTAAAGTAGGGTCATATCTTCCGTGTTCCTGCCTCTCTGAGGGAGATGGACTGACAGAGGAATTTGGTCCTTCCTTTCTGAGACTAGAAGGTGGCATAGAAAAGCCAAGTGTTGTGCCCCTCTTGGTGTTGTTAACCCTAGCAACCACTGACTTAGTTGAGTGGATGTTTAAGATTCGCCTTCACCAATGTCTTTACATGTGGCATTGATTTCATATCCATGTCTCTCCCTTCTCTGCAGGCCAGGGGTTATCACTATGCAAGCATTGTCGGAAGAGGACCGGAGGCTCTGGATGGAAGCCATGGATGGCCGGGAACCTGTAAGTAACAATTCAGGGAAGTAGAGCAAGAATAAAGGCCCTGAGTTGTTTGTTGCTTCCCTAGTGCAGTGATTTTTGCTGTTGTTCTAAAGTCTTGGGTTCTTGAAACCAGTGTACCAGAGGTGGTTTTTTATTCCTAGGTTTATGTTTATGGATATTGATATTGCTTCTGTAAAGACATAGTTCTTGAGCTTCAGCCTCTCAATCCTAAGGCATGGGTCTGCAAAGCATTACACGAAAACTCCCTCTTTGCAGAAGCAGGTGTAATGTCGCCAGGTCTCTTGAAGGAGGCAGAGTCTGGTCTGGCCTACTGAAATTACAGATTATGTAACATCCTTTATCATTGACTTATGGTTCAGCTTCCTATAGTAACTCATCTCATCTTATAAGCAGTGGGAGATTATTAGGGTGGATGGAGGGAGGTGGGCCTGGTAATATGATCCATGCTCTCATTTCAGAGACGCTGGCCTCAGCTGGGTGGTGTAATCTTGTAGTTATTCTGTATCTTGTGACATGTAAAATCTGTAAGAGCCCTGGAATTATTGTAGTCACCTTATTTTAGTTCCAAGGATCTCAATTCCTTTAGTTTCCTAAAGAGAGAGATAAATATAGATAAATGATGTCTATGTAATTGACAGTAATACTAGGCTTAATTTTGTCTCCCAATACTGAAATCCTGTAGGGAACCTTACTAGAGATGTATGCCCAGTAGACAATTAGCAGCTCCAGCTTTAATCACCATCTCCCTGGTTAGTTGAATCTGTCTCCCTGGGAGTTTTGGAATTCTCTAGTTAGCTCTTTCTCTAGTTGGTGTTAGTGTGGTTGCCTTATTTCACCAAATTGCAAGGTTACAGAAATCCTAAGAGTACAATCTAACTGTGTGCCATGAACAAAAGAGAAAAAGAATCTACAATGCCAGAGGGTCAATAATTGATACAAAGGTACTGTCCAACGGGAGGAAATGTGTGTAAGGAAGAAGTAGGCCATGGGCTCCACTGACTCTAGAACTCTGTGCATCAAGCTGGGTAATGTCAGCTGATTTGTGTGTCTCTTTCTCAGTCTACCCTGGTGAGGTGATCTGGTAACATAGATTAATGTACCTTTTTACTCAGTCATATTTTATACAAACATGGGACTCAATTCAATCAACTAAGCATAAAGAAATAACTAGTATTGTTTGATATTTAATATAGAGCAAGGTCTCTTAAAGATTTAAATGATGATTAAGGCACAGTTTGCTGAACTATAATTAAGCATTGTTTAATCTTAATTCTTCTTGTGGGCTAAAATATAAGATAGTTCTGATTGTCTCTGAATATGTTGTTACCCCTAGAAACCCTCAAAACCAGATAAACATTTCCACCTTTAGAGCTTTACAGGCACAATAGCTGCTTGATGTCAAAGGCCTTTGAAAGAAGCTTCCCACATAGGTCTTTCTTTTTGCTAGCATTATCTACCATTCGTTGAGCACGTTTTTGCATGTTAGGCACAGGATTAAGCACATCACATCTCTTAACCCATTTATTTCCCTTTAGTACTTAATGAGATAAGTGCTGTGATTCCATTTTGTAGATGAGGAAACTGAGGCTTAGAGAGGTTAAATAACTTGCCCCAAGTTGCACGTATAGTAAATGGCTGTATTAGTAGGATGCAGGCTAGGTTGCTGTAAGAGAGAGACACCAAAGTACAGTGGCTTATGGAAAATAGGGAAATGTATTTCTCTCTTAGATCCGAGAAGGAAGCAGTCTATGCCTAGTAGGGTCATTCTGCCATCCTCAGCCCATGGTTTCCTACATTGCTTCAGTGATTGTCATTTTCCAGCCAGAAAAATGAGGACAAAAGTATTTTGAAGGATTCACAAGATGCACTCATCACTTCCATTGGCTCAAACATAGTATAGCCACATATATCTCCAAAGCAGACTGGGAAATCTAGGTTGTACCTAGGCAGTCATGGGCCCAGCCAGGTCTCCGGGCAAGTTATTACTTCAAAGAAGAAGAGGAGAAAGGATACTGTGGATAGTTGGCAGTCCCCATCCTAGTGTCAAAGCTAGAATTTGACCCATGTCTAATCCTAGACATATTCGACTTTCATCTTTAATGGAGATAAACTTTCAAATTGCCTTGTAAGAATTCTCGGTTCATTTTTACAAAACTTTTACCCACTGCCTTGAATGATTCTTTAACTTATAGGGGAGGAAATGCCCAGGGAGAAAAATCCTGTTACGGCATTCTATTCTTGGTATGCGTAAAAAAGAGCCAAATTATGACAACAACAAAAAAACCCACCAAAACCAACTAACATCTCTCCCCCGTCCCCAATAAGTCAGAGTTCTAAAACTGCCTTGCCAATTAATTCCATTTTAAGCCTCCCCCACCTCTTTCCCTACCACTTAGATATTTGTTCTCTGTCTGTGTATAATTGGTCTTCTTACTAACCACTTCAGTTTTCCTGTAGATTAACATCTGGCCTGTACAGATGGAAAGTGTGCTGTTGAAAGAAACATCTTACTCCAGAATGTACAAATTAAAACAAGTTTAAACACAAAATAATTTTGTTTTTAACACGATATAAAATTATTTCCTCATAGGAACATATATCTTGCACTGAAAACCATACTTCGTGTGCTTTTTAGTTTCCTAAAGAGAGAGAGAAATATAGACAAATGATGTCTATGTAATTGACAGTAATACTAGGCTTAATTTTGTCTCTCATTGTGGAAAGCCTCTAGGGGACATTACTAGAGATATATGCCCAGTAGACAATTAGCAGCTCCAGATTTAATCACCATCTCCCTAATTAGTTAAATCTGTCCCCCTGGGAGTTTTGGATTTCTCTAGCTAGCTCTTTGTCTAGTTGGTGTTAGTGTGGTTGCCTTATTTCAGGGAGATGTTAATAGTGGCAACTATCTTCTGTTTTATACTTCTATCTCAGTTGTTCTATGATGGGTTATTTGGTGTTGGTGGTTTTTTGTTTTTTGTTTTTTTTTTTGAGGTGGTTGTTTAGTTTCTATTTTTTTTTTTTGTTGTTGTTGTTGTTGTTCTTTCATTGTTCACTAATACCTTAGGATGGTTGGTTGAAAAACAAAGAAAAGCTAAATGAGCCCCAAATCAGTTGATTTTGCAACATTTCGTTTTTAAATATAAAATTTAGTTTTAGGGTTAAATCATAATTTTTAATATACAATCATTTGCTAGTCTAAAGAAATGTTCAATGTCTTTATGGTGTTGGTGGACATATAATGGAGGAAAAAAATAGAATTTTCTTCCTACAGTAAGCATTATGGATTTTATCTATGTAGTAAATTTGAATTATTTTAGTTCAAATGTAGGTAACCCAATTTGAACTTGGGGAAAAGCTGCATTTATTGGGTTACATGACTGAAAAATACTGGAGTTTAATCGTCTGTGACCTATCCGAATCTGGGATCTTACATAATATTTGGAGTTGGTTTCTTCTTTTGAAATTGACTTCATTTTCCAACGTGTTCTTTTCATAGAGTGGTGAGATGCTTCTTTACTGTAATTTGTTCCAATCTTACATCTTATTATTAAGAACAGGGGTCAGTAACCTTTTTCTGTAATGGGCCAGATAGTAAGTATTTTAGACTTTGTGGGCCATGTGGTTGCTGTTGCAGCTGCTAACTTTGCTGCTGTAGCTAAAAAGCTGTCATGGACAACATGTAAATGAATAGGTATAGCCATGTATCAGTAAAACTTTGTTTGCAAAAACAGATGGCTGGCCAGATTTGGGTCATGAGCCATACACTGTTTGTTGATCCCTGATCTATAAGTCTAGTGGAAAGAGAACTTTTACGTAATCCTTCGAAAAAAGTTCCTTATTTGGATTTTACTGGACTAACTACTTGGTCCAGAGGCCAGGATAGATGAGTTGACTAGAACTTAACTCACGTGCCCATTGTACTGAAGCTGTATAAATGGCGAGGGAAGGTTGTTTTTTTTCTGAGAGAAAAAGCATTGTTGTATGAGGGAAGGAGATAGATACTAGTCAAGAAAAGCAACACAGTTTCTACTTATTCTCAGATGTATGTTTCTTTAAACTTTATGTTCAGAAAGCTTCCTTTTTGATACTTGACTAAAGGTGAAAACCCCAAGTTTACCACTAACATCATACTTAGAGTAAAAGACTGAATGCTTTCCCCTTAAGACTGGGAACAATATGAGGGTGTTCACTCTCACCACTCTTACTCAACAGAGGACTGGATGTCCTGGTCAGTGCAGTAGGACAAGAAAGTAATGTAACAGGCATACAGATTAGAAAGAAAGGGATAAAACTGCCCCCACTTTCAGATAACACGATTGTCTCTGTAGAAAATCCCAAGTAATATACACAGACACACACACACAGACACACACACACACATACACACACACACACACACACACTCTCACACACATCATACACACACACCCATACACACACACGCACGTACGCACACACACACCCATACACACACACACACACACACACACACACACAACCCTTCTATAATTAGTGGGTGAGTTCAGCAATGTTGCAGGATACAAGATAAACACATACACAAAATCAATCATATTTCTATAGATTAGCTGTAATCATATAGTGATGGAAATTAAAGGCATAACACCATGGTTAGTCACTCTCCCCAAAAATGAAGTGACTAGATATAAATCTAATTAAACATGTAGAAGACCTGTATGTTGAAAATTACAAACTGCTGATGAAAGAATCTAAAGATCTAAATAAATGGAGAGACATTAATGAATTAGAAGAATCAGCATAGGAAAGATGTCAGTCCTCCTCAGATTGATTGTAGGTTTAATGCGATTCCTGTCAGAATCACAGCAAGATTTCTTATAGATACAGACAGGCTTGTTCTAAAATTTATATATAAAGGCACAGAAACAAAAATAGATAAAACGATTTTTAAAAAAGAAGAATGAATTGGAAGTAATCTCTCTACCCTATTTTAAGACTTCCTTTTTAGTGACAGTAATCAG